CATCTTTTTTGGGTTGTAGAGACAATTGCAGTTGCATGCAAAGTTTGTTTTCCCTGCTTAACTTATTTGTTGCATTTGTTTAGGTTTGGTGTGTTCGGTTTTTTTTTTGTTGAGTTCGCGATCGAGTGCATCCTGTGGGTCCTTTTTCTCGCTGCTTCATTTCTCCCCCTCTGCTTCTTCGTTTGTTTACCTGTTCAATGCTTTTTCTTTTTTTTCATATACCTATGTGCTGATTTGTTCTGCATTCCGTCGTCCAATCGCTTCAAACATTTCACGGCCCCTCTCAAAATTCGTGGAAGAACGTTTGGGGTTGCGTGTATGCGGCGGTTGCATGTATGCGGCGGCGGGTGTGCTGCAGCAAGCAGATGAGACGGAGTTGGAGATGAGGGAACTGCAGGTCCTCAGAGACCGCCAGGAGGCGCGCAGCCAGCGCCCCCTGACTCAGGAGGAACAACTCAGGGCGGAAGCAACTGTAAAACATAAACCCTAAACCGCAGACCCAATTCCTGTTGAATCTTGTTGAATCCTAAGAAGCCTTTGAATCGGGTGTTTTTTGTAGTTTGTGCAGGCTGCCAGTTGCTGCTTAGTGAATTCGTGCCTCACCGGAAGTGGTTGCTGGACTCAGGGTTGACGGGTGAGGGATTAGTATTTACGGTTTGGGGCTTAGCTTTTAGGGTTTGGTTGTCTCAGGTGCGGGCTGTGCCCTGTCTGCGGTGGACGAGGAAGCGGCGGCAGCAAGTCGGTGATTCTTTTGCTGCTGACCGCTGCATTTTGATATACGGGGCTGAGAATATTAGGACGTTTCTGGCGTGGAGAGACAAACGGCTAGCGAAAAAAAGACAGGTGATGACAACCACATATAACCGCTGCAAAAGAACAAACCCTAAACGCTTAACTCACCTCTGAGGTTACCATTCAGCGTCTCATCTCCCCCGCACGCGTTGACACCCACTAGGCTGGTCTCAGGCTTACAAGCAAGGTGATGTAGGGTCTAGGGATTAAGCGCAAAGAGATATGGGTTTAGGCTTTAGGGTCTGGGGTTTGTGTTGTGTATCAGCGCCAAATGAGCGCCGTGCACTCG